ATACGTGGTAAACAATAAGGCCAAAGCGAAAGGTATGTACACTATCTGCATACCGGGTGGGCGGGTAAAGTTATCTACTTATACAGAATAACCTTTGAGCCGTTTGTTCGACAAGATGTCAGCCTACCAGCTTCTATGTCGTGGTCTGTGTTGAAAACTAAATAACTACCCTATTCAACGGTATATTTATCCGTGCGTGTCCCTTACTGCCAGCTCATTTACCTACTGTGCTCTATCTTAGGAAATGGTGTCACGTGTTCAGCCAGTTTACGACAGATAGTTTCTGAATACAGAGTATCCGAAGATAGTTCAACTGCGACAGGGTTTGTTTTTTGTTGGTGTGTTCGTTATGGTTAATATTTAACGAACGTGGCGATACGTCTTGTTTGGTGCAATTGCCGTAGTCACAGCTTATCTGTGTTTTGGGGCAACTATGACGGTGAACAGACTCCACGGATCATGTCTTGTCGTAGTGCTCAGTCTGTACATGGCGTATTTATCGGTGACGATGTCCCAGAACAGTATACAAGTAGACCCAACAACAGAGCATGCATGCAGATCCAATCGACTGTCAGCTACCGAGTGGTACGTATCGTAAGAATGACTTGGCAACGTTACCAACGACATTTATATGCGTAATCCCGCCGTTAGCGTCGGACACCTGTGGGATTATGGGTGCTTTCTTTATTCAGTTATGTCTATTACGCTAACCTTTCCGCGGACATGTGATACTATCATCCGGGTGTTCGTTATTACCTGATACTCTACCCCCCCCCCCCGTACACACTTTGATTAACAGTGTTTGTAATTTATCAACATTGTGTATCAGACAACATGAAATGTAGCTTTCAAAATTCAAAAGCCATACCATAAATCAACCAGCCCTGCAATAGTAATAACGCTCATTTTTAAATACTTCCGTTAAAAATTCAAAGAAAGCTCGCACGCCTACATGCTAGCACAATAAGGGCCACAACTTCCTGAATGAGGTCAGTGTCTCCTTGGCCATTTCACTTTCGTTTTCATCTGAGAGGTTTAAGAATTTAAAGTTTAAGCTACACGTTTAACATATGTAGTTTGTACTGCAGCGACAATCATTATTATGCATGTAACGTCATCGAGCCTCAAAATATTCGGTCAGCTTGTATAGTCACTGCGTTTTGTACAAGTCACATGTGAGAGTTTTATTTTTAAAACTTCAATTTAAATGTTTCGTGGTAACAAGAATACCACCCGTTGGTAACGAGTGGTGGCCCAACTGACCAGGAAAGTACATTGTTCGAATTTCGGTCGGACGCATGGTCATATGGATGAAAAATTCGTTGTACAAATTCAAAAGGAAGAAATATATGTGATTTAATTAGGATTTGATTATGTTCAATTAAATATAATAATGCCAATAACATCATTATTATATTGACTATACAGGAGCATATAATGAACCTAAAATAAATCGCAGACCAATCTTTGATGGAAATGTTCCATTGAATTTTGTTTGCAGGACAAAGTCATTTCCAAATTCGCGTGCGCTACCAAGATATCATGCAAGTATCGTTACCATTGTATTTGATACATGACACATGCTATGTCATATGTCAAATACATATATATATATATTGGCGACGATACACAGCGTTCATACGTCAGACACGTGATACTCATATCCGGGTTCCAGTCACGGTCGACACGTGGTATTCTCACTGATCCTGTTACTTTCAGCATACAGAGATAATTACAAACAAACATCAACAAAATTGAATAAACTATGAACTATTTATTTTCGATACAAAACTGATACCCCAAAATTACGTTATACGTTATTCACTTGTATTGTGGGGGTCGTCGCGCAGCGTCCTGTTCGTCTCGCTACGGTTACCGTGGTCTCGCGTTCTGGAATTAATAGCGACGTAATATCTGGGAAGCGAACATCCGGGCATTTTCACCGCCTGGCAGCCATCTCGGTGAAAACAAAGGCCGAAAACTCGCAGAAAACAGTACTTTGAGATGGTTGTTGAGACTCTCCCGACCAGTGTAACAAGAATACAGCACATATGCATTTGATTGTTCAAAATAACTTCAAAGTATCGGAGTTTGTGCTGTTTTCACGGGCTCTTCGACAGGCGTTTCACAGTAGCTCGCGCAGAGCCCATGGAAATACATGGTACAGCGGTAACTCCGTTCGAAGATACAACATCTCTCAGTCTAAAATACGTTGTTTGAAATTCGAACGCACGCTGCGCAACGACCATCGCCCTTTAAGCTGGATAGATGGTCTGCAGAAATGTGTGAAATCACACGTGTTAATTACAACTTCATGGCTTTTGGTATTTTTAGGTTACAAACGATGAATTATCTTGAAACAAATAATTGTATTTAGTCGTGACTTACAATGTATATATCATACAATGTATAGGCCTGAAAATGTGTCCATTCACATTCGCCGACATTGTCAAAAAACTTCTTGCATTTAAAGCGGGGGAGTCGTCACCTGCGCATGCGGCAGATGGTCATAGCCTGTCATTGTTTATAAACAAGCGTCTACCCATGCGCCTATGCGTTTTTAACGTGTGCTGTTATCGTCGCTT